GCGGGGCTGCGGGGGGCACGGGGGGAGGCCCTCAGCCCCTCTGTGCCAGCCCTGGCACTCGGCCACCTCCGAGTATCCCACTGCCCCGGCGCTGGCATGGCCCCGTCCTGCCACAGGCTCCCGGCAGCTGTGCCGGGGGTCTCCTGGGTGGGTGTTTGGGGTGAGCCCAGCCCGGTGCAGCATCGCCGGCTCCCCAGGGCCAGCACCGGGGAAGTCCAGCCCTGGCGAGAGCGGAGCCGACACTGCCGGCGGGCTCTGCCAGAGGAGCGTGTTCCCGCACTGGCCGGTGCTGGGGCTCTGCAGGGCAGTGGGACTCGCCTGTAACCAGCCGCTCCCCGAGTTGCTTCTCCTTAAATAAAAGAGACCTGCCCAGGCTCTCCGTCTCCTGTGCTCTCCCGCGTGCGCCTGCCTTCCCCGGGCACGGGGACACCCCTGCAGCCACCCCAGGCCAGGACCCCTCGCCCTGCTGGGGCCGAGCCGAGGGTGCTTGTGGCAGCGCTGCTGCCTGCCAGGGATCTGCCCGGGGGGGGGGGACGCGGCCAGGGGAAGCCCAGGGTGACCCTGCCATGGCCAGCCCTGACCCCCGGCCACCCCCATGCCCACTCGGGGCCAGCGCTGAGCTCCCCTCTGTGGGGCTTGGGGACATTGCAAGGGATAGGAATGGGGACATTGCAGGAGGTGGCCATAGGGACATTGAGGATGGGGACATTGCAGGAGTGGGCACAGGGGGCTGCAGGAGCGAGGTCCCCTCCCTGGGAGCTCCCCGGCCACCCCAGCTCTGGCTCTGCCCTGTCCTGCCCTGCTCCGTAGCTGCAGGCAGAGGCCAGAGCATGGTGTCCCCGCACCGGGGGGCTGCGGGGCTGGGGTGTCCTGGGGGACCCCAGGTCCTGCAGCCGAGTGCTGAGGCTGACAATGGTGGCAGCGAGGGACCGGCAGCAGCCCCAGCTGCTTGGCTGTGCTCTCCACCCCCTTGCCAGCCCCCGCGGGCTGCTGGCACGTGTTGGCTGGCGGCTGGATCCGGCAAGGCCTGGCAGGGCCCCCGCTGCCGCGCACACGGGCCCCTTGTCTGGCCCCAGGGCCTTCCTGCAGGAAGGGCAGAGAACCGGCGCCTGCCACAAGCCGCCTTTGTTCCCTGCTGCCATTTCCCTGCCAGAGCCGGGGGCTGGCGTGGGTGACGGTGCTGCAAGGCAGGGTGGCTCCGTCCCTCTGCCACGGCTGTGCCTTGCCGCAGCCTCCCAGGGGCCAGTGCAAAGCGTGGCCCCCCCTGGACCCCCAGCCTGGGAGCCTGCGACGCTGGGGCATGGCCCTGGCTCGTCCCCAGGGTGCTGCACGCCAGCAGGTTTGCAGGTCCCGGCTGCACCGAATCCTGCTCCCACCGTCGGGGATCCCCGTGGCCATGTCCTGCTCCCACCATCGGAGATCCCCATGGCCATGTCCTGCTCCCACTGCATGGTCCCGTGAGGGTTGTATCCTGCTCCCACGGCAGCAGCAGGATCTGACCTTCATCCCCACCATCGTCCAGGGTGGGCTGCGCTGGGGTGGGGGGGGTCCCTCCTTTGGGGCCAGGGCTGCAGGTGGGGTCGCTGGTGCCTGAGGGCCTGTGCCACCCCACAAGCTCCCGTGGGCAGGGCTGACGGCAGAGCCGTGGGTGCCACGGTGTGGGGCTGCACAGGGCGGAGCTGGGGGGCTAATGCAGCACTGGGCCCCCTCCGTCGCTGGGATGCCCTGTGCTGTCAGGGGGACCCTCGGTACGCCCGGGGTGCCACAGCAGGGATGTCCCTGTGCCCCGGGGCAGGAGCTGGCCAGAGGTCTCCTGTGCCAGGGCACCAACACAGACCCCTGTCCCGAGGATTGGCAGGGTGCAGGCAGGGGCTGCAGCCCCCACAGGAGGCAAGGTGCCACCCCGGTGGGGTATGGCGGAAGAGCGGGTGCTGGGACGAGGCGGGGACCCCAGGGCGGGATGCCGAGAGAGGCGGTGGGATGCGGCCCTGCCCTGGCCCCGGAGCAGCGGGATGAGCTCATGCGCGTTCCCCTCCCAGCTCCTCCCCGGCCTGGTCGGCTGCAATGAGGTCAGGGCCACGCCATGGCCCCACAGCCCCGGCAGGAGCCCCCAGCATGGGGCAGAGAGAAACTGAGGCCCCAGGCAGTTCCCCTGCCCAGCCCCAGCACCCTGACCCGTACCCGAGTTGCGCCCACCCCAGCCCTCCTCGCCCTGGCCTCCCCTCCCCCGGGCTGTGCTGGCCCCCAGCCCCACTGGCCCTGCAGCATCCGCAGCCGAGTCAGCGGCCCCCGGGGCTGGGTGGGGAGCGGAGCCGCCAGCTGCAGGGTGGACTCAGCCCCGGGAGCGCTGCGCCTCCAGCCCGGCTCCCTGGCCGGCTCCCAGCCTCCTCCAGCCCCGCAGAGCCTGCCCCAGCCTCGCCCGGCACCCAGGGTCCGTGTCCCGCACCCCAGCACCCGGGGCTCGTCCCACACCCCAGCCCCAGCACCTGGGGTCCATGTCCTGCACCCCAGCCCCAACACCCAGGACCCACATCCCACACCCCAGCGATCCACGTCCTGCACCCCAGCCCCAGGGATCTGCATCCTGCACCCCAGCACCTGGGATCCGCACCCCACACCCCAGCACCCAGGGTCCATGTCCTGCACCCCAGCTTCAACACCCAGGGTCTGCATCCCACGCCCCAGCCCCAGCCCTCCACACTCACCCCCAGCAACCCGGGGTCCACGTCCTGCACCCCAGCCCAGCCCCCACCCTGGCCCGGGGTCCCCAGAAGGGATGGGACCCGCAGGCCGCGCCG